GGGAAGAGGGTTCCCCCCCCTCAAATGCACAAGAATTGAAAAAGGGGATGCAATTTTTTAAGGCTATTTTAATGAATCACAACTGTTCAACTCTGCCTTCTTTGCAGAAGGCTAGACTGTTTGAGATTTTCTATAACATCTTAATTTTTCCTCTGAGACCAAGAGGTTAAAGATCAGGTGAATGAAAACTGAAAGCATAAAACTGTGCTGGGTCAAGAGTAGTTCCTCAGTTCAATGGCTAGATTCTAGCTCTACTATAGTTGCTTCTTTGAAGTCTGCCCACAGCAAGGTTGCCAATTGAAGAATTTTTTTTAAAACTGACAATATGCAAAACTTATTGACAAATTTTTTTCTACTGATGTTTTACATGATGTAAATGTAACCCTTCTACCAAGTCCTGGACAGCAGGAACAGAGGCCAAGTTCAAAATTAGGGGTATAACACTGAGCAGTCTTGCTTAATTACAGTGATGGCTTTATAGTATATACCCCAGAGGTCTCCTACTCACCCTGTACCTTAACGCCCCTGACTGCACCACGCTGCTCCACCCTAGCACCTTACTCCCCAATTATCCTGCTCCCCCCATCCCAGCACAGACCCCCATTGACCCTTTCTCCTCCCAACCCCAAAGTTTGGTCCTGGCTACATCACCCTCCTCCCTACTCCATCTGGTACCTCAGACTGCTTGGGGTGCCTGCAGACCCTGCCTACCTTTAAGGCAAACAGCTATTACAGACAGGTGACAGTCAACAAGATGCAGTGGCAGCACATGACTTTGGGGGCAGAGGGAGGGCATGGAACAGGGCTAAGGAAGCTCCCAGACCACAAAGCTCTGACAGAGTTCCCTGCAGGGCCACCAAGCTGCAATCCCGCTCAGACACGAGGTCTGTCCATCTGGCAACACTTGCATCCAGCTTCATTCTGATGACAAAATTATGCTCAGTTTCTTAGTCCAACAGTAGCAGATGACAGGCAAACAAGAACAAGAAATCAAATTCAAAGCCATTTCTCTGAATACTATACAAATGCTGTCATGGTCATATAATGAAAAAAGGTAAACCAAGTTGTTGTGTTATATATAAGCAGTGAGATGGGGAACCCTGTGAGGATTCTAGTTTATGCCTCTAGGCTCTCTCTCCCTCCCCACATTATCCCAACAGCCAAGAAACATCAAACTACTTAGCACTAAAAAAACCAAATCGAATGACTGGCATGTTCCAGCCTCAAACTCAAGTGGAAAGTGAGCCCCTACTCTGGTGGTGCTGTCAAGTGGCAGCTGTGTCAAGCTTGCTGCATTCTGAAGATGACTAATCTATTCTGCACTGTGTACTCAAAATATGGAATAATGTGTACTTGCTGGAAGAGCAAAAGGAGGAATTTAGCATAATACCAGATAGGATAAGCTAATCATCTACTACTGCTTTAGTGTAGCACTTGTAAGGAAACAAAAAAAAGTTTCATTGTCAGCTTTACCATGGATGTCCACATTCACTGCACTCACTAGCCTGTAAGCGCAGATGACCAGACTCATTCCTTACAGAAGGATCAAGCACACACTACACTGAGTACAAGTGTTTAAAGTTACTTGCTTGTGCTATTGAAGAGTCCTAGAAACTCTGTCTTTTAAATCAATTTTAACTATGATCCAAGCTGTGCTACAAGGCCCTAAAAAACAGAAGGTCTTTAGCATTCCCCAACTCCCTGTACTCCCTGCCTTTCTAAAATCTGTATCTCTGAAGAAATGCAAAGCTTCAGAATATGGACTTCTAAGAAAAAGTAAAGTACAAGTTAATTAGTATATTTGTTTCAAATGTGGGGGGGGAGGGGAGGGAAACGAGCAACACAAATCCCTATTTCTTGAACAAGGAAGTCAGAGGGAATGTTTTCTATTCCCAATTTCTACAAAAGAGATCCATCTACAATATCCACACTTTGCTTCTGGGGAAGGCCTGTAAGTTAACTGTGAACTGCGGTGACACTAAGGCAGCGGGTCCCAAACTCCAACAGACTGACTGTGCACCATCAATTTAAAACAATACAACCTTAACCTTACCACAAGCAAATTTTTGTCATATAACGTAATTATAATAAATTTGTTAACACACACCACTGATAGGTTGCCTGTGTACCACTGGTAGTATCTGTACCACAGATTGGGAACTGCTACCCAAAGGAATATGTTGGCTCCAAATAGTCAGGATATCTCCCCAAATAGATCAGACAAATTACTGATACCTGAACTATGGAATATTCCAGAAAAAACACGCTGGTATACAGCAGGGGTTCTTAAGCTTCTTAGACTCAAGACACCCCTCCATAACTCTTTTAAAATGAGCAGCATCCCATTTCAGAAGCTACTTTATTTGTTACAGTCAGTCCTTACCTCCTTGCAGAGAGGCTGGGCAATGAGGTTAGTGAAACCCTAAACCTGCTATCCTCCGCTTAGCCTCACACCTGGAGCCTGATCCTGCCCTTCTTGCCACTTGTACACGACAGGAGTTTAGTCCCCTGAACAAACAGTAGGTTGATTGTGACAATTAAAGACCCACTGTTTCAATTTAGGGGCTTCTGTCACTTATGGCCAGGTGCCCAATCCCCACCCCCCAGGAGCCTGCCTATGTCTCCCGCGGCCAGGAGGCGAGCTGCCAGCAAACCGAGTGGTCCCTGAGTTGCAAGGGTCCCTGGACCTTCCCTCTGCAGTGGCAGCAACCCCCCCACCCGGCTGCCTGGGTGAGCTGCTAGCAGACAAGTGCTGCCACCCTGTGGAGGGAAGGTCAAGGGTCCCCTACAGGTCAGGCCCCACCAGCAGCTCACCCCCTGGCTGTGGGAGAGGCAGGCAGGCTCCGTTTGGGCGGGGGGAGAAGAGAAAAGAGGATCATGCCCCTCTAGTGCATCCCAAGGTGCCCCAGCACCTGGCTGAGAATCACTGGCACAGAGATATGCTAAACCAAAATAAAACCAAGGGGACAAGAATCCAATGTATATTTAACATGCGTTTGCAAAAGGGAAATTGAAAACACATGCATTATGCAATCACTGAAGCTAACAAAATATCAACTGGAAGAAATTGCCAAAGAGATTTTTAACATAAAAGTCCTATAAGTTCCTCAAAGCCTGTAGCTTTACACAGAGTAGGAATCACACTGGAGGTGCATATATTAACTTTTTACTCAAGTATATGTAAACTCTTATCTAGGTGACATGGCATAAAATGCTGTCATTTTGATCATCTTGTAGTACCAAAAATTTTAGAAATCAGTGTCATATCATTAGAGACTACTTTTAGCATTTAATAAACGAATTGTATCAAGTAAGAGTGCTCTAATTCCCAACTCCAACAGCTGCTAGAATCAGAACAGAAGAAAACTGGCTCTTGGTGATAGGTGGAGCCAGGTCATCACCCTTGTATGTTTGTTTGGTTTTTTAAAGTGTAATATCTTTAACTGTTAGCTAAGAATAAAGAACTGCCTCCCATTAGAAAGGCTGCATCAGTTCCTATATCTAATTCATGAACAGATATTACAACACAACAGTATAAAGTGAGGAGGAGTGGGGGAAAAAAAACCAAAGCAAAAAACAAAACAAAACAAAATAAAAGTGTGCGTCAGCTGATCTGATGCAACATTTTTGTTGAGGTAGCTATACTGCATAAGTAGGCGGAGCGATACCATAGAAATTTATAACTAAATGAAACAGGGAAAACTACAGAGGTTTAAACTTGACAGATAGATGAAATGGGATACATAAGATTCAGCTGCACCAGAATAATCACCCCTATTTTCCATATTTAAAGTAGTGTAATCATTTTGTTTGTTCATACCCATAGTGGTTAACATTCAGTGCATTTTAAAGCCACTTTCCCCAAAAGCTAAAACAGTTTTGATTTACATTAGGCCCTGGAACAGTGACAGTAACAAAGAGAAGATCTCAAACTAGTGCAGCGTTCATGGACTAAAAGCAAATTACCAGCAGCCTGTAAAGTGAGCTAGCTGTGGGCTGCCAAGAGAAAATGAGATTCAAAGTTACAAATAATTAATAATGGAAGTATATAGAAAAACTGAGCCTTAGTATGTGGTTTTAAACTTTAACTGCACAGGAAAGCGTCATTTTTATGTACCTTGTAATATCTGAAGTAGTCGCGTTCTTGCAGTTTCTGTATTTTGGGGAAAATCTTGTAAGTATTGAAGTCATCAATGCTTTCTATATCACACTGGCAATCATCCAGGACTCCTATAAGCTATATATATACAAAAAAAGTATTTAGTAACATGGCTTTGTGGATATGTATGGGTGTTACATGGCCCTTTTATTTTATTTTTTTTAGCAGAAGAAAGAAAGAGGCAAACCATGAGATAGCTTAGTCAAATACAGTTCAATAACAACATTTATTTAGTGTCTTGGCAGCAGAATTCCATATATTTATTACTAGTAAGTTTAATACACAGGTTTAAAACTTTAAAATTGTACATTTTTGTTGCCATAGTCCTTTGGATTTAATCCATCTCCTGTACAACTAGGCAGGCAGGGTGGTACTCATCCAGAATTCTGAATGAGTTAATCTGGCAGATGCCACCTATAGTACTTTCTATCTAACTTTGTACTACTGGGGCTAAATATTCATAAAGGCTTGAAAGGACCTCAAGAGATCATCAGTTCAAACAGGAAATCGAACCTGCAACCTTGGTATCATAAACACCAGGCTCTAACCAAGCTAAACAGCCACTTTCCTCTCTGCTCCTGCTACAATGTTATGCTAACATATGAATAGTAGTTATACAGCTGATTACCACTGTCCTACAATTTGTTCAGCAGTTGCAGTCTACCCACACACGATGAAAGATGTGGGGCCTAAATTTCACAAACTCAAGTGCGTAAATTCAGACATGGCTCTCTTGTTAAGCACCCTTATAGGAATTACTCATCCCCCTACACCAGTGGTCTCCAAACTTTTTTGAGCGTGCACCCCTATCAGTAAAAAATTTTTGAGCACGCACCCCC